CCGTGTGGCGCCACCCACGTGAAGCAAACCCCAAAGACCAACATTTTAGTTAGCCTATACCCATTTGAAAAAGCGCGTCAGATCATCTCAGCTGATCTTTCACATGGCATCTCACTCCGTGGCTTTGTAGGCCTTTAGAGTGACCAAGCTAGTGCAAGGAAAAACCCTGAAATTGGGATGCGGGTGGGTTTTGATCTTTGCTTTCCCATAGTTTAAACTAAAAAACACAATATTTCCCCACCTGCCAGGTGAGGGTTGTTAGAATTTATCAGAGCGATTCTTCCGCCTCCTCCTCCTCCTCCTTCTCCTCCTCCGCCTCCTCCTCTTCCTCCTCCTCCCGTTTCTCCTCGACCATGTCTGCATCAACTTCCACGTCCACTTCCGCCTTGCCAACTCGTCGCCAATCTCTTCGCCAACTTCCGCGCGCAGTGGGCACTGCTGGACCTCAACTGCAAGGGTCTGAGCGCACTGGGCACCGCTGGACCTCAACCTGGGCCTCAACCTGGGACTGTCCGAGCTCAGTGAGCACCGCTGGACCTCAACCTGGGACCCTCCGAGCTCAGTGAGCACCGCTGGACCTCAACCTGGGACCCTCCGAGCTCAGTGAGCACCGCTGGACCTCAACGGCCAGATAGAATGCCAGAAGATATGCCGGATAGAACGCCAGATAGAATGTCAGAAAGAATGCCAGAAGATATGCCAGATAAAGTGCCAGAATGTTTGCCAGATAGAACGCCAGAAGATATGCCAGATAGAATGCCAGAAGGTATGCCAGATAGAATGTTAGATAGAATGCCAGAAGGTATGCCAGATAAAGTGCAAGAATGTTTGCCAGATAAAACGCCGGAAGATTTGCCAGATAGAGTGTCAGAAGAATGCCAGAAGATATGCCAGATAGAGTGCCAGAAGATATGCCAGATAAAGTGCCAGAAGATATGCCAGGTAGAATGCCAGAAGATATGCCAGATAGAATGCCAGAAGATATGCCAGATAAAATGTCAGATAGAATGCCAGAAGGTATGCCAGATAAAGTGCCAGAATGTTTGCCAGAACAAATGCCAGAAGATTTGCCAGATAGAATGCCAGATAGAATGTCAGAAGATATGCCAGAAGATATGCCAGATAGAGTGCCAGAAGATATGCCAGAACATATTGCAGAAGATATGCCAGGTAGAATGCCAGAAGGTATGCCAGATAGAATGCCAGATAGAACGCCAGATAAAATGCCAGAAGATATGTCAGATAGAATGCCAGAAGATTTGCCAGTAACAAAACGTATAGATGCCATGGTGGGGATAACTCGAAGTAAAGTAATTGGCTGTGATTTCCTTTTTCACATGGGTGATAGGATGTGGTACGTAAATGGTTTGATCTTTACACACATAAACACATACATACATAGATACATACATACATACATACATACGTACATACATGCATACATATATATATATATATGTTTATATATATATATACTTATTTAAATACATCGATGTAAAGACAAGTAATTATGTATATAAATATATATATATATATAATGTGTAGTATGATTGTATAATATATATATATATATATGTGTGTGTGAACACGTATCTGTACATGTCGATAAAACAGGTGTGTGTATGTGTGCGTGCATGGGGCCATACGCATAATGCAGCCAAGTTTGCTGCTTTCCCCTTTTCTTTCGCTTCTTCCGGTGAGAAACCCTCACTCAGCGCCACCTTTCGGGCAGCATGGTATGCTGCTCTTTTCCGAGAAAGCTTTGCCTTCAGCTCAGCCTTGTTGTTCTCGTCCTTTTCCTTTGAAACCTTCTTGCCCTTCTTGTCTCCCTTTTCATTGTCTCTGCTTCTGTTCTTGCGTTTCTTTGGCTGACTATCTGCTCCTGCTTTCTCAGAGTCATCTGAATCTGCCTTGGTTCTCTTTGCCGGTCTTCTAGTCTTTCTGTCCTCCTCTACCTCCTCGCCCTTCACCTTCAAGTCAACCTTCTTCTCAACTTCTGTTTCGCCTCCCTCTTCAACCTTCTTGGTCTTCGCCTTTCCTTTCTTCTTCTCAACCTTTGCCTCACATTCTGCCTCTGCCTTGTCACCTTTGGTCTTGCCAGTCTCCTCAAGCTCAACCTTCGGGGTCTCAGGTTCTGCCTTTGCTCTTTTGGATCTCTTCGCCGAAGAAGCTTCAGCGACCTTCAGGGATACCTCCTCCTCTGTCTCTGGAGCCTTTGTCTTACCAGCTGCCTTCTTCGCACGAACCTTCTTCTCAGTTTCTCCTGACGCCTTCTCTTCCTCTGTCTTCTTCGCCTTTGTCTTGCCAGTCTTCTTCTCAATCTTTGAACCTGTCTCCTCTGGAGATGTCTTCTTTCCCTTGGCTCTGCCACCCTTCCTCTCAACCACTGCGGTCTCCTCATCTGCCTTCTTTGTCCTGCGTCGGCGAGTCTTCTCACATGTCGGGGATGCCTCCTCAATCTTCTCTGCCTTCTCTGTCTTGTCTTTGCCAACTTTCTTCTTAGAACCCGTTTCCTCCGCAGCGGCTTTTGTTTCTGGTACTTCCTCTGAATTCTTGGCTTTCTTTTCCGATCCCATCTCAACCTTCTTTCCTGCAGCTCTCTTTCTACTTGGCTCTCTATTCTCTTCAACCTCAGAATGGTCTTCACTTGTCTGCTCTCCTTCCCCATCCACACTTGACTCAGAGTCTGACAGAACAACCTTCTTGTTCCTCCTACCTCGGCCCCGCCCTCGACCTCGACCACGCCCACGGGCACCTGTGCCACACCCAGAACCTTTCTCTTCCTTCTTGTCTGTGATTTTCTTTTGCTCCTCCGGTGACAAGGGGGTCACAGCATCAAGCGCTGCTGGTCTGCCAGCAGGGTCACCCGCTTCTGGTTCACTGCTGTTGATCTTGTCACTTTGGCCCAAAGCTGCTGCAGCTTTGTTGACATCACCATCATGGGACAACAGGGCTGCCACTGACTCATCTTTGCCATAGCCCATGTCGATGAGCAAAAGGACAACTGCAGGGTTCAACCCGTCCTTTGCGGGCGGAGACGGTGTCACTGATTCCTGACCAGTCTCTTGTCCTCCCATCTCAATGGTCGCGGGCAGGTCTTTGCCACACATGCTTGCAAACGTCTTCGGCTTCTCCTCAGACACGGGCTCCTGAGGCAAATCACCGTAAAAGGTATCATGTGTGTGTGTGGGCGTGGGCACGCTGTTCGACACATATATGATGTCCGCATGTATGTATGCATGTATGTATGTATGTATGGATGGATGCATGCATGCATTGATGTCTGTCTGTATGTCTGTCCGTCTGTCTGTCTGTCTGTATGTATGTATGTATGTATGTATGTATGTCTGCGCGCGTGCATGCAAAGGATGGGATGGGATGGGGTGGGATGGGATGGGATGGGATGGATGCATGCATGCATGCATACATGCATGTGTGTATGTATGTAGGTATGTAGGTATATGCATGCGTAATGCAGTGCGTACATAGACGTATCTCACGACCAAATGTGCTAGCGCACATGTGTGCACAGGGTGTGCGCCATAAGCTTGGCAATTGCATGGGTTTAGACTTGGATGCGCATGCCAGCTTTTAAGATTTGGATGCTTCAAAAAAACAAAAGCCATGCTATGTCCATCTTTCTTTGTGCATGCGTGTACTTCGAGAAACTCAGGTCAAATACAGGAGCCCAGATGTAAGAGGGAAAATTACCCATGTGCTAGCTAGAACCCAACCCCCCAAGTATAGTAAATTAAATGAACCCACAGCCAGTCCGGCTCATGGAAGTCCAAGACATCCACCGCCAAGGTCGCCTCGTAAGGAAGAGTGTCCAGGAAGTCAGAGCCTTGGATACAGAAATCGGAAGGGTGGCTGCGTACTGATATTTTTCAAATGCCCCGAAAGACCAATGTTTTTGATATCCAACCATTCATTACAGCAACCAAGAAACAAGCCGATGGGGCAAGGTCACTTGAGGCAGAAACGGTCGAATTCAAGAGGGATGCCCGTTTTTCCATCCTCTCCTTAGCCAACCTTTCCTGTTCTTCAAGCTGAAACAAGCGCAGTTGTTCCCCTAGCAATTCCTCTTCTAGCTGCAACCTTTCAAGTTCTTCTCGCATCAGGTCTTCTTCAGGGACCGGCGAAATCGTCAATGGGAAATCCGTAGGTTCAGGGATTTCAAGCAAATCAGCACTACCATTGGATAAGCGGAACTTCTTACCAGAACTAAATTCAGCTTGCCAACAACAATCCTTTGGTGACTCCGCAAGGATTGACTGTAACTTGTCAAGCCAGTCGTCTGAAAAGGGCAACCGACGATTGATTTTCTCAGTGCTTGACCCATCGAAGAGGATTCCTTGGCGTGGAAGATAACATGATAGATTCTGATAGATGATCAAAGTTTAACTTGGGAGATCTAGATCAGTGATGTGAAATTTCAAGTTAGCTTTCAAAATTATTTTGGTTCGCCATGACATATGCAAAGGCTTTTGTAGAAGAGGTTCCCCTGGCAGGTGGGGTCAAGATGGTCTCAGCACTCTTGACCGACGCCACTTCAGCCTCGTTCACCCCAAGGTTGATCTCTCCGTTGTCGTTGGTTGCAGCGATGTCACCTGCAAGATTGCCAAGACTGTGGCAGCATCTTGGCGATTGATGGGGCAGGGCAGAAAGGAATTTGAATGATCCTGCCTGGAGGCTTTGCTGGGGGTGTTGCATCCTCCTCTGGCTCGATTTCGGTGTCCTAGGTGTAGATGCGTGCGTAAATTATAGTACTGCAAAAATCGACCCTACCGAATCATCATACGTTGTGTACAGGTCCCATTAGCCAGGAAGCAGTCACATCTTCGCTGCTCTCTTCACCCTCGCCAGATGTACATGAGTCTTCATCCAAGTGACCTGGGGATAGAACCAATGGAATGAAAGTCTAAAGGCAGGGTCGCCCAAAACTTGTCAAGTAAGGAGCAATGGTTGGACAATCTAAAGAGGATCACCTTCCCAAATCATTAGGTCAAGAGACGGGGGTTGGATGGCAACGGGATGCCAGCTTCCATGAAAATACGCCGGATGGCTTGTTCCCGTGGGAAGTGGCCTCTCTTGCAGCATCTGCTGAAAACGCTCACCAAGCGTTTGAGGATCCATGCTTGGACACGAACTTGGCGACCTTAGATCCCCAAAATCCCAGCATGTGGCCCTTAATTCTTATGGCTATTGTTTGTATTAATTTGTGTCGGTGCCTTCCCCTTCATTTTAGACATATACTATAAGACATGGATTTATAAGTTTGGGGTCCTTATTGTGGGCAATGAAACATTGGTAGAATGGGAGTCCTATGTCACCCGCAAAATTTAGACATGGAACGGTCGATCGCAGGTTTGCCCTTGGGTCTGGAGTACTCAAAGAAAAGCCCCACGTGCTCGTTGATTTGGTCCACAGTCGTTCGAAGACCTAAATGTTTCAAGATTGGAGTGATGACCTCCTCATTCGTGACTAAATCCTCACGCCCCAGCGTGTCATTGGGGCTCAGCACGAGACGCCCAGAGCCAGCCCTGGATATGAGGGCCTCGCTTCTGGCCCAATCTTGACAAACAGGCGAGCACATGGCTCTTAGTCAACCCTGCCTATTGTTTAAGGCGAAACGTACCAAGCCACTGAGCAAAATGCACCTGCCGAAAAAATGTATGCAGATCAAAATTTGTGTGTGTGTGCATGTGTGTGTGGATGTCAGGATTTGTGGTAGCTTTAGCAACCCCCAATGAACATGCAGGCAGCTGAGTGATACAGCAAGAAGGGTGGTGTACCTGGCCAGAGGTCACCAAATTGATCAACACCTACCCATCGCCAATGTACCTGCGCGGCCAAGGTATGCACCTTCACCGAAGAGGGCAAAATGCGTGCACCCATTCACATACAACTCTGCGAACATGGATGACAATGGTGGGGGGCGCACTGGAAGGTCTTCACATGCCAGAGGAAGGGGACTACTAGATCCACAATGACAATACAGGATTGAAGGGATCAAACAATTAGTCAAATTACAAAAAGTGCTCGAATTGGAAATTTTCGCTCGAGACCCTGATGTGGATCATGATTTTGGATTTTCGTATCGATTTGCCAGTTTCTGTTCGAACAACCAAGGCGACAAAAATTTTTGTAACGATAGATGGTTCTGGTAGTCAGGGAAAGAGTTAGTCAAAGAAAGAGTTAGTGAGGGAAAGAGTTAGTCACAGAAAGATTTAGCAAAGAAATTGTTCCCTCACTGTAAATGGGATTGCTAGTGGTGCTGGTGGAGGAGTTGCCGATGGAGTTTTGGAGGAAGTCTCGCACGAAATGCGTTTTTGAGAGATAGCAGATGCACGAAACCCTATGTTTTTCCATACAAAGTCCGTCCCCGAACCTCGATGATCTACCTCTGCGGTGCGACGGTTGCGAGACGGTCTCGTGTGTGGTCGGATCATGGTCGGATCGGTCTCGGATCATGGTCGGATCATGCTCGGATCGGTTCCGCATTGTAAATGGGGTGTCACCTGTGTTTCGTGCATTTGTCATGGGTTATCAAACCACCCCCAAGTCGAGCCACCCCCAGGTGAGGGCTGCTTATTTGAAAAAAAACAAAACATTATTTGCACCTTATTAGCTGCTATTAAGCTATTCTGAAATCTTATTAGCTGCTATTAGTTTCTATTAGGCAGTTTCTTCTTATTCGTATGAAGCATGCCCTTATTCGGTGCTTATTAGGCAATGAATAAAAACATGGTTCCGTTGAATAAGAGTCAGGTGCCTTAATAAGCACATATGCTGTTTTTGAATAAGGGTTTATGAAGCTTCACATCAAGGTGTTTTCTTATTTTTCACCTTCCTCATGAAGAAAAGACAGTCAGCCAAATAAGGCAAGATGATGTTTTCAAATAAGAAAACATCATTTTCAAATAAGGCTTTGAATAAGGACGAGACATATTTTCACATCGTTCAAATAAGGCTTAGAATAAGAAACCATCATTTTCAAATAAGGCGTTGAATAAGGGACACCAAATAATTTCTCATCGGTCAAATAAGGCTTTAAATAAGAAAAGTAAATTTTCAAATAAGGATTTGAATAAGGGCAATAAATAATTTCACACTGTTCAAATAAGGATTCTAAAAAGAAAAAAAGGTTTTAGGGTTTTAGGGTTTAGGGGTACCTGGAAGCCAGGGCAGGCAAACGGAATGGAGGCAGATTAGGCTAGGCACGGCTACCCACCTCAGTCCAGGATGATGAAACCATTTAGATACTCTTAAGCACTCTTAGATCCTTGTTGTAGGCCCAGGAGGTAAGACTGAGCTAAGTAGCTGGTGGCTGTGGGAGGATGCAGGGCTGGCTGCTGGACTGGTGCAGGGCTGGGAGGTAAAAGGGTATTGAGCTGGGAGTGGGGAGGGTGGCGGGGATGCTGGGCCAGGCTAGGATAGGCAAGCCCTATTGGTCACTAATAAGCACCAGTAGCTCCTGAGACTTGGACTGGGAGGTGGGGATTGGTGCAGGGGAAGTCAAAGCTCTGGTTGGGCCAAGCAAGAGCTAGGGAGCTCAGTCCCACCTCTCAGCTATTTCCTGTAGGCTATTACTGCTTAAAAGTGCATAATAGGCTACTCCTGGCATAGCCTGGTCCACCCCCCCCAACCACCCCCCCACTCCCAGCTCAGTACCCAACACTCCAATCCACCAGCCCCTCTCCCCCGTCCTCTCCCCCTCCTCTCCCCCGTCCTCTCCCCATACTCTCCCCCTCCTCCTCCTCCTCTCCCTCCTCTCCCATCCTGTCCCCCTCCTGTCCCTCCTGTCCCCCTCTGTCCCCCTGCTGTCCCCCTCTCTCCCTCCCCCTCCTCTCCCCCTCCTCTCCTTCTCCACCCAACCATCCCCTCACTCCCAGCTGGTACCCAACACTCCTATCCACCAGCCCCCCAGACTCTGCTTATTAGGGCTTATTAGTGCTTATTAGTGCCTAATTGGCATTGCCCGAGCCCCCCAACCATCCCCTCACTCCCAGCTGGTACCCAACACTCCTATCCACCAGCCCCCCAGACTACCGGAGCTAGCCAGCTCAGTCCCACCTCCCAAATTCGGCCCTTAAGGCTATTAATGCTTATTAGGGCTTATTAGTGCTTATTAGTGCCTAATAGGCATTGCCCTGCCTAGCCTGGCCGAGCCCCCCAACCATCCCACCACTCCCAGCTCAGTCCCAACTTATTAGTAGCTATTAAGTGTTAATAGTCATTTTGCCCGTTTTTTTAGGATTTCAGGCCGTGCTGAGGCCTGGCGTTTGTTTTTCCCCACAACGGGAATCCAAAACAGGGAGGGCACAAGGACGTGTTACAACAGAACCACAAATGGAGAACTGCAACAGGAAATGGAAAATGATGCAAAAATGAAAAATATTAATTTTTATGGTTTGTAAAGCAGGAAAAGTTTCTTTTGTAAGATACTGAAATTTGGAATGTTTTGGAATGTGTTATGTATATGTTTTGGATATATAAACATTGTTTTCTAATAAATTTATTACACTATAAATTTCCCTGAAATCGAATGTGTGTGCATCTAATTTTCTTAAAACATTCACTGGTTCATTTTGAATGTATTGGAATGAAATTTCTATTTTCTTTTAAAAAAATGTTTTTTGTCAAAATATGTTCAAAAACCAATTTCTATCCATAAATTATGCCCAAAATCAAGTTTAAACAAATTTGTTACATTATAAATTTCCATATCTTACAAAAGCAAGTTTTTCTGCCTTACAAATCATAAAAGTGACATTTCTCATTTTGCATCATTTTCCCATTGCTGTTTTCCTGTTGTGTCTTCCCCTGTTGTCTTCTCCCGTTGTGTCTTACCACGTTGCCATGGCCTGAGATCAGGTACCCGAGATCCGAACCACAGCCAAAACGGGCAAAATGACTAATAACACATAATAGGAACTTTTAAGGCTTTCAGGGTAATGAACAAAAGATTAGATGCACACACATTCCATGGGACAGAATAGGAACTAATAAGAACTAATAAGCATTACGAGGTACTGATAAGTTGTGACTGAGCTGGCTAGCTATTGCCAGGCACAACCACAGCTTGGGGACTTTGGTGGATTGGAGTGTTGGGAACTGGGGGGATGGTTGGGAGGAGAGGGTGGATTAGGCTATGCAAGGCATAGCCTATTAGGCACTAATAAGCACTAATAGTCTCCAGGACCATAGCTGAGAGGTGGGACTGAGCCAGCGGGGAGTCTGAGGGGCTGGTGGATTGGAGTGTTGGGTACTGAGCTGGGAGTGGGTGGATGGCCTATTAGGTGCTAATAAGCATTACTAGCCTCCAGGACCATAGCTGGGAGTGGGACTAAGCTAACTAGCTATTGCGAGGCACAATCACAGCTTGGGGAGTTCAGGGGAATCGAACGCGGGTCACATCGATAGTAACGATGTATTCTACCACTAGACCACTGATGCCTGTGAGTTGGTGGATTGGAATGTTGGGGCTGGTGGATTGGAGTGTTGGGTACTGAGCTGGGAGTGGGCAAAAGGTTGGAGGTGGACCAGGCTATGCGAGGCATAGCCTATTAGGCACTAATAGGCACTAGCCTCCAGGACCATAGCTGAGAGGTGGGACTGAGCCAGCGGGGAGTCTGGGGGGCTGGTGGACTGGAGTGTTGGGCACTGAGGTGAGAGTGGGGGGAAGGTTGGGGGGGTGGACCAGGCTATAAAGAATAGCCTATTAGTCACTAATAAGCACTAATATTCTCCAAGATAATAGATCTGCGCTCCCTAGCTCTCGCTAGGCCCAACCACAGTTTTGGGAGTCTGGGGAGCTGGACTTGTGAATTGGGACGAGGCTAGGCTGGGCAAATAAGCACTAAGAACATATATATATTTTGAGCCTGGACAGGTGGGTAGCTGGTGGCCAGTTCTGCATAGCATTATGTTCATCTCAGCCAGCCAGGGACTGGAAATCATGTTTTTTTTTTTTTTCATTTTTTTTCATTTTGATCATCATTTTTTTGGCTTGAAAATTATCATTTCCTTTTTATCCCCGTTAAGTTTTTTCATTATTTTTTCATTCCTGTTTTTCCTCCCTTTGGCATTTTCATTTTTCTTTCCTTTGCTTCGAAAATGGTCCTTGGTCCTTGGGAATTGCCACCAGAGGCTTTTTCTCGAACCCTTTTCGTCTGTTTTTTCGATTGCTTTTGCGCTTTAGCTATTTTTCTTTCCTATGCCTTTAAAATTGACCTGAGGAATTGCCAAAAGGAGCTTTTTCTCGAATCCTTTTCGTTTTTTTCTCGTGTTGGCAATTTTTCCTTTCTGTGCCTTTAAAACTGACTTGGGGAATTGCCAAAAGGAGCTTTTTCTCGAACCCTTTTCGTTTTTTTTTCGTTTTGGTAATTTTTTCCTTTCTTTGCCTTTAAAACTGACCTGGGGAATTGCCAAAGGAGCTTTTTCTCGAACCCTTTTCATTTTTTTTCATTGTTTTTTGTTGTTTCTTCGTTTTGGCATTTTTTTCCTTCCTTTGCCTTTAAAATTGACCTCGGGAATTGCCAAAAGGAGCTTTTTCTCGAACCCTTTTCATTTTTTTTCATTTTTTTCATGTTT